GGTAGTCGAGCAGTCGGAAAAATACAGCAGAAGCCTTAGTTCACTGACTATGGCTGTGTCCAAACGTAACCCTAACCATTATATAGGTCTATATATAGATGTTACGCCATTTTAAACGAGTGTCCAAACATCTAGTGTATAAAAAAACGAAGTGGGCTCGAAATTTCACACAATGCACATTGAAAAGTAGTCATCCATGGTCACTAGACGAGCAGATCTATCCCAGAATGTTTTGCGAGAGCTCTCCTTGCAATGCATTACGAAATTTGTTGTGACAGTGGCAACAAATAAAGGTGGCACCGCACCGAAGCTAATTTAGAATATTTATGTTAAGTTGATGGCAGCATGAGCAGAGACCGTGGGGGTGTGTATTGCACATGCTTGCTGAGATCTCATCTTAGTGAGTTAAGACCACGTGTTTTCTAAACAAGCTGTGTAGTCGTCATGCCTAAATTGGCATTTCTCTACGTCTAATTCGTGGGTGAATTTTGTTGTGTTAAAAGCTCTAAATATAATTTCTGTTAAGCTTTGGTTTCACCAAAATATATTTAAGTTTAGGAAGTATTTTAAGTGCTTTTTACATTATTTTTATTGGTTAAATGTAGTGTTTGTTAATGTTAAGTGTACCTTTTCCTGGGTTATCAAGGGGAAATTTAAAAAGGTTGGTGATTACAGATGAACGCCGTATCTGATATTTTACTGATGTAAAGGGTGATTGAGAGTATTGGGTCTAGAAAGATTTTATGCTCTTTGGTAAGGTGATAATTGCATTTCATGTCATGATTTAATAAGGCTTGAAAGATGATTTAAAAACCTATGCTGTACTTTGTTAAATTACAAAAAATCATAGATTCATAGTTGAAAAGGATTTTACTTTTTTTTTTTTTTTTTTACATAGGTTAAAGATGATTACATGTACTACAAAGTGTTTTAAGTTGGACAAAAAACTTGCATGTAAAACATTACGGAGGTAATGTGAGGGATGAAGAATAACAATTGCTATAGCTCTAAGAATTGATAAGAAAGTTTATTTGGCTGAATGCAATAACAATATTGTGTGCAGGCTAGGTTTTTGGCTGGATCAAACTGGATCAGATTCCATGGATTCCCTCTGAAAGGAGATGGCGAACCTGTGCAGAACTGAACCTCTGTTGAACTCCATTCTTCTCACTGACGTGAACTTCCCAGTGGTAACAACACGTACCCATAAACGAAGAAAAGGAAAAAACTGAAATTGCAACATAATTTGACTTGACTGATGACTAAAAAGTACAACTAAAATATATTGACCTCAAAGGGACAGGGGGTTTTGATTTCTTTTTTTTATATATATATATATACACTGGTTGTTATCCATATTGTTGTTGCACATGTTAAACTATATTTTGTTTATTATATACATATACATATACACACACACACACACTGGTTGTTATCCATATTGTTGTTGCACATGTTAAACTATATTTTGTTTATTCTTCTCTTTTGCAAAATAACATTTGCATTTGCTCATTTCCTGCTTCCAGGGGCATCATTTTGCACTCTTTAACTTAAAGGCCTTCTGCAGTCATACTGCCATCCTACGCTCAAACTGAGGCATAAAGTCTGACTTAAAAAAGTAAACTTACAAGTAAACAAGGGTTTGAGAGATGAAGTCTCACAGATTGGAGTTCTTCGTCTGTCAACTAGTAGCACCCACATAAATTATTCTCTCAAGCTTAGAGAACAACCTTGTCAACCTTTGTCTTATATTCAGAGTAAACCTGTAAAGCAATATCCATGGAAAGAGAAAACCGTTTCTACTCCAACATTGCAGACAAAAAGGTCAATAGAAGCCAAATTTATTACACATATTGCCGTTACCAAATCTTAACAATCCAGCAGAAGGATTTTCCATTAAACAAAAAAAGCCATATTTGCCTCTGTTCGCTACTTCATGTGACATACTGCACTGATTCATGCAGGCAAAAGTACGGTGGCTGAGAAGTGCAAAACACATTTACAATTCAAAAACACATTAACAAATAAAAAACAAAATAACATTTGAAGAAACAAAATAATATTTTATGAAACAAATGTATTTTTGAAAAAAAAGTTTACATTTTTAAAAACAAATTTACATTTTGGAAAAATTTACATCTAAAAAAAAATTGACCGTTCGGAAACACTTGTACAAGTGCAAAGACAAAACTGCAAGTGGCAAAACACAGTTACATAGCCAAAAACAAATTAACAAAAGACGGCTACATGGAAAGGGAATGTCCCAGTGGCCGGATGTGACGTCACGATTACCCTGACTTGTAGTACAAACAGCTCAATCTGTAGTCCTCCTGCTTCACGTGAAAAGTCAACAGCGATTTTATTATTGTGGAGCAAATTTCAGCCAATTTACACCATTTTGTTCTTCGTGCGGACGGTCTCTGGAACTTTTACGGTACACGGACCAGGACCACCGGAACTGCTGCATCGCAGCCACTGCCACGAATTGAGCTCGGCCCTGCTGCTTGGTCCTGCCACATGGTCCGTGTCCCGTAAAAGTTCCAGAGACCACAATAAGGGCAAAACATTGTTCGGTTAGCGTAAACTTAAGAAAAACAGCTTCAGTGAAATTCTTTCCATCTAAAATCGCCGCTGAATTTTCACGTCCTCCTGCACAAGCAGGAGGACTACAGATTGAGCTGTTTGCACTACAAGTCAGGGTAATCGTGACGTCACATCCGGCTACTGGGACATTCCCTTTCCGTGTAGCCGTCCTTTGTTAATTTGTTTTTGGCTATGTAACTGTGTTTTGCCACTTGCAGTTTTGTCTTTGCACTTGTACAAGTGTTTCCGAACGGTCCATTTTTTTTTTTGATGTAAATTTGTTTGCTAAAATGTAAATTTGTTTTTAAAAATGTAAACTTTTTTTTCAAAAATACATTCGTTTCATAAAATATAATTTTGTTTCTTCAAATGTTATTTTGTTTTTTATTTGTTAATGTGTTTTTGAATTGTAAATGTGTTTTGCACTTCTCAGCCACCGTACAAAAGAGTAAAGAATAAACACTTTCATTTCCTAATGAGGACAAACTTAAGTGTCAACCAATAAATCACCTCTTTGGAGGATTGATTAAAAAAAAGAAATCAAAAACCAAAATTAAAAACCCTTCACTGCAAAGCCGGTTGGGTTGTAAAGAAAAAAGCTATATAATATCTAATCCTCAGGACCAACATTTAGCTGGATTTTTGCCATCCTAAAAGTTAATGAGCAGACCCTCATCCTCTGAGACCAGAGGTGCCTGAGCGCATTTCTATCAGAACTGAATTCTTTTGTGATAATTAAACACTTATGTCAAAAATATGCAAGTGCAATTAGTATTTTATGCCTTAAGTTGATTTTAAGGCCCCACTGGAATAAATTAGAGTCACTGCACTGGTTTCATCAGGAAATAAAAATGACTGTAATGCTGTTGAAACAGATAATAGCAATAGGTAACACTAAAGACTTAAAGGTTACATAATAAAAAGGTTACTTACATAATAAGGTAACCTTTTTATTATGTATACTTTTCTTATAAAGAATTTAGATCGATCTAAAATGTATGATTATAAACAGTAATACTGATTCCTCACCCTGCGGTCTAAACACACTTAAAAAAGAAATCTAATCTGAGGCAGTGAGATGTACAAGATAGTTATTCTGCATCACTAGTATGTAACTTTAATGGATTTCCTCCCCACATCTTAGTCTTTGCAAAGTCCTCTTTCAGTGAGATAAATGTTATTTTACCCTCAAAGAGACAACAGGACTTGAACAACATAAATTGTGGTCTAAAACACCGTTAGCCCAGACAAATTCATTTTCTCCTCCAATATACTCAAGCATGCCCACACAATGCATCTTTTGATGCAATGCAGCCAACCTAAAATGGTATGAAGCATTTAAAAAAAGTTGATATAAGATGTGCCTTTAAAGAAAAAATAAAATAAACTTGATTATAAGAATATGTATTATAACCCAATAGTCATTGATTTCAAACAGCACATTGTATCTGCATTTATAAAGGCTTATGAACAGCTCTCAATGGTGCAGCAGAAAGATCTCCACACTGAATGTTGCAACCAGGACGGTACCGCTGCAGCTCCAGCTGCAGAAATGGAAAAACTCGCCATTGTTGCAAATAAATATCCCTGTTCATCATTCATTAGCCTCTCCATTTTTGCTCTGAGTTTCTGTTCCCTCTAGTCAAGTTAGAGTAGCTTGGTAGTTTGATTTATTCTCAAAATGTTCCTGTTTGGCAGGAGCCTGATGCAGAGACAGCTGCCACATCAAGCTAAACTTCCCTCATGTTGAACCACACCCACACTGCACAGTGGCTAATGCGAGTTCCACATTAATTTGAATGGTTTCCTTACAGCAGCCGCACAGCCTCCAATTTGAGCTCAGCATTATATCTGTTTACTTAAATTTCTGCTAGACTTATTTGCATGAAGGAATCAAAATCCAGACCTTTGCAATGACAAGATGCATTTGTGAAAAAAGGGTTGTAAATGTGTTCACTCTTCCTGTACTCCAAACCTTCCACTCATAAACTAACCCATAACCAGCTGCAGCAGTGACTGCTGTTGCTTCATATCTGTGGTAAATAAACATGAGGGTTTCTCTGCATACTTCATCCTCGCTTTTAACAAATTCAGGTTAAATGTTACACTAAAGCAACACAAGACCAAAGGCTGCTACTGTACATCTTGAGGTTAATATTACACCCCACAAACCTTTGACACATTTTCCCTCCTCCTCACAACCTCCGCTTCATGTCAGCTGGTTTTCAAGTTATTTTCCTTCAAACATGGAAGTTAATATACTTATCGTATTCTACCAGTTAAAGACAGCTTTTAAATGATTGACAGCATTTAAAAAGGTGCTGTAGCGCAAAGAACAACAAGAGAAACCAGTGGTGTCTAATAACCAATTTAAAGCTCCAAAACATTTTAATTGCTTTGTGTGTTTGCTGTCCTACCTTTCTGTAAACAGTCATGTTGGGGTAGTCATCATCTGGGTCTATGGTACTCATGGACCTCATTGACAGAAGTGGTCGAGCCGTTTTGATGACCTGGTTTGGTTCCTCTGAGCCTTCATCAGGCTCAGTGGTCTCCACAGAGCTTGGCAGCTGCTGCTCCTCTTCCTCCTCCTGCTGCTGCTGCTGTTCCTGCTGAGGTGCCTCAGCCATCACCAGTGTCTTTGTAGCCTTTAAGTTATCCTCTCTTCTTTATCAGTAACAGACTTCTTTCTTTATGTCCTCCTGTGGTCTTTCCTCAGTGTCTGAAGGATGCTGCAGGGAGAGACACATTCATTGAATCTTATTGAATCTCAATTGTTTTTCTTTGGCTTCTGTCAGGAGGCACAGGATGAATGAGATGGACGAATCATAAATTCTACCAGTTCTCTGTTAAACCTTCTATTCAATCAATCAGATAGCTTGGTGCTCAAGATTTTTTTCTTCATCTTTAACCCCATTCATTCCAAAACCATTATCAGCATATAGGATGCTACATCATCCCTCTGATATTGCCTAGACAAGAACATCAAACAAGCTTGACAAGTTTTACTGAGATAAGTTTTAAAAAAAGGGTCAGATATTTACTTTATTCTTACAATTTCTAGGATCATTTTAAACCTGCCAGGACAAATATAGATGAGCTAAACCTAAACATTTGTCATTTTTCCAGCCTTACAAAATGCTTTAACTTCTCAGTAATTCATATTAAGTTGACCCAGACTTTTTTGTGTAAAGGCTTCACTAAATATTACTAAAGTCAGAAAATAGAGAAATTCTTTACTGCAGACTGCTCAGGCTAGAAGTTATTGGTATTGTAAAGAGCTGGCTTCACAGTTTGAAATTTATGTAATTTGTAGAAATTTAGTAAAGGAGGAGCTTATTAAAGAAAACTATGGTTGCCTGTAAAAGTTTTCTAATTGAACTGTCACACCCAATCACCTTTTTTTGTTTGCAAATAATATTGTGTATTTTTAATCAAAGAAAGACCTCATGCCTGGACATAGAGTATCATATGCACACAAGTAAACAAGGAACTAATGGAGACAAGTCAGTAACAACTAGCAAAAGTGCTAAAAGAAAAGAAGAAGTGTCCAATATTAAAAAAGCAAAAAATAAAAGCTAAATTGCCAAGAGGGATTAAATGAGAGTGGCACTCAGAATACAATATGAACGTTGGAGTTCAGTGAAGTGGGAGCAAAAGCCGCGGAAATGTTCATTTTGCTGACAACTTGATGGACTCACTCAGGCAGTGCCCACTCAGGCAAGGGTGTGTGCCAGCAGATGGCACACACCCTTGTAAACGTCTGCTGGTAGGGCCCAGTGCAAAAAGTTATGTTGGACTCAAAAATGGCCGACAATATTAAGACAAAACACTTGGCATATAATGTTTTATTTGATGATAATTTTATGCTTTGGTCTTTTTTTTTTTTTTTTTAATCAGACTTCTCAACTACACAGCATCAAATTAAAATTAACAGGCTTTAATACCTATTAGATAAATATTCTGTGTTTAGTTCCTTTGTTTCTGATCCTGATTTTATTCATTGTTCAAAAAATTATAATGGGACCAAAGTTGTGGTTTCAACATAATGTTAAATAGTAAATGGTATGTACTTATATGGCGCCTTTATTCAAGTCATTCACCCATTCACACACACACACTCACACACTGATGGTGGCAAGCTACATTATAATCACAGCTGCCCTGGGGCTCACTGACAGAAGCTGCCGTACACTGGCGCCACTGGGCCCTCTGACCACCATCAGTAGACAATGCAGGTGAAGTGTCTTGCCCAAGGACACAACGACACTGAAAGCCGGAGTCAGGGCTTGAACCATCAACCCTTCGATTTCAGTGCAAACTCCTACATCCAACGCCACTGTCAAAGTTTACCTAATTGGAGGTGAAATCAACGGATACAGCAGTCGTCCTAAATTATGCCTCCTACTTTATGCATTGTATCACTACCATCACCAGATGCAAAGCAGGCATTCACCATGAGAATACCACCAGTCTTAATACAGGGATCTGTTTTCTAAGGATTCAACTGCAGGCAGTTGAAAGGATGTGCACCAGAAAAACAAGGAACTAATGGAGACCAGAAAGTCAGCAACAACTAGCAATAGTGACATATACCATTTAAAGCTCATACTAAGCCTTGCCTGTAGAGATATTAAGTTTTGGTGACATTACTCATGCTATGACCCCCACTAATAGTGTAAGTTTTAAATCAAAGGAATGATTAATTCAGAACCCACATCAAATGGAGCATTTTAAATGTCCTTTTTAGGCAGAAGTAAACAAGAGTGAGTGCCCCATTTCATGCAGAGCAACTTTGACCTCAGCGCTACACGACTCATCACTGGCCTTGAACCGGACGGACATGCAGTAATTACAAGCTTCAAAGCCTGCCGGCCAAAGCAAAAATGAAATGCAACTTTGCTGAACCCTACAAGTTTTGAAGCACCAGTGTGTCGTTTTCAGGATTTTTATTTAAAAGAAACGAGAAGTTGAAACTTAAACTGACCTGCCATCTTATAAGAAACTAAAAAAACATTTAATGTTTTCCTCCAAACTATTCACATTATATACTTTAAAACCATTTGATGGACCAACTCCCAAGTCCACCTGTGCCCTGACCTGTGTCCCTATAGGTAAGACCAGTAACCAGTTCATGCCTGCAACAACATATGATGCCCGGATGCCAAATTATTAATTTCACACTTCACTAAAAGATGTTAAGACATCAGAAGGCTTAATTGTAAAGGGAATACAGAATTCTGATTGTCAATAATGTTTTGCAGACTCGCAGCTTAAGAAACACAAAGGAGCTGTAATAAGAGAATAAAGGCCCCACAAGAGAATGGTGTGCATGCAAGAATGTTATTGTGAAAAGCAGGTTTTCAGTTTTCAGGTAAAATAAGTTTAGTTAAGACTTAACCAAAAGGGAAGGGAGAAAAACAGCTGGAGTTTGCATGCAACTTCAACACACATTTAAGTTCATGTCAGCTGATCAATGCTTTCTGCCAGCTGTTGGTTCCTCTGAAATTCTCAGAGACAATAATAAGAAATCAATGTTTGGAAATAACTACAGAGAACCTTACATTGACTTCCAGTCATAATTTAACCCCTTTTATAGTCTAAACCTACCCATTACCAAAACAATGCTAGCCTAAACTAAACTTCATTAACACTATAGTACCCAACCCCCTGCACCAGAAGAGACCTTTCCTTCATCAGTACCAGTAGACTGGTCCTCACAAATTAGCATGCTACAGGAAAATTGGCCTTAAACCGTCTCCACAAGGTAACAAATACACAGGCACATACACAGCAGGCAGCAAAGCTTCAGAGGGCTGCTTCCTATGAAAGGAAAAATATTGCCATTTGTTTGCAATTGCAAATTAGATGGGGGCTGAAATCATCTCTGAATTGATGGCCTCCAACATGCTGTCATTATTCCACACGTACCATTAGTTTGATAGATGTCACAAAGCTGCAGCTCACCATGACACTCAAATACCTGCTCTGGATCCTGGTGATCAGGCTTAAATTTTGATTGATCCATCCTGCTCCCAGGATTAGATGTTGGCTTGTTAAACTGTGATCAGGATCAGCAGACTGACTTCGATCCCTCAGTATGCATGCCAAGTAAATGTTCTAACTAAAAAACTCACGTACACCTTTATCAGTCGAATTTAAAGAGCCTTTCCTTTATCAGATTTGATTTAATCCACTTTCACCTTCTTTTTCTTGTTCTAGCCCAGAATCCTCCTTTTTCCAGCTGCAGGGCATGTGAAATACCATTTTGTAAGTAGAGAAGGGTGCAAAGGGAAAAACTCTCTAGCCCTTAAAGGTGGTTGTAGAATGCAAAACTGAGTTTACATTGTCATAGATTAATGATACTGTAGTTCAGTGGGTGAAATGGGTGTACAAAGAAGTTCATCATCGACATTTCGAGACCTCCTTTTTTTTGCAAATCTCACAATTCCAAACGTCCACCATAAAACAGGCGAATCCAAACGAAGCTCAAAGTTGACGTAAACTCGGGGATTATGCCTTATTTGGTTCTGGCCTGTACTTTTGTCACGTCCTGAAATTTACATACAGACCAGCCCACTGGTTCAATGGCCCAAGAAAATGAATAGAGGTAGATTTGGACACTAGTTTAGCTGTTCAGCCTACAGTTGGGTTTACTTCTACAAGAATTACAAAGCAGGCAGTTTCTCTATTGAAAATGAGCCAGAACCGGCGTATTTTGGTGGCGCAGTAGTTAGCACACACGGCCCATGCATGGGCACATGCATCACTGCCTCTTTCAATCCTCTTTCCTGTCAGCCTACTGTCCATAAAAACCAGCCACTAGTGCCGTAAAAACTAAAAAAATAAAAATAAAAAAAAGAGCCAGAACAACAGGTGTAAATGCAGTGTTCCAGGCTGCACGGAAAAAGGGGACATTTTTCACCGTCTTCCCAAATATCCATAAACTCGACAGGCATGGATTATTTTTGTCTATCAGAAGATCCCTGCAAAGCTTGATGCTCAGCTGTTTATTTCTAAGCATTTTACCGAACACAGCTTTCAAAATGTTGGACAGTTCAAAGCAGGAATTGCTAAACTTCTTTTACTGAAACGAGGGGCTATTCAGCCCGTAAGGTCATCATAACCGCAAGCTGCAAGTATAATTTTGTCACTAAGCTGTGGGCCTCAAAAGTGTATAAAAAGGACATAAGAAAATAAAAGAAAGTATTGTAATGTACTGTGTAGAATGGTTAATATTATCTAGAGTCCAATTCAGTTAAATTAAACAAAAAAAAAAATGAAGCAATGACAATAAGCACTTCTTAAAAAGTAAAATTAGCTTTCCCTCCCAAGCTTAGTGGATCCATGTTTAATTATTCCACACTTGGCACGACTCCCAGACAGAATAAGATAAAATAACTCAGTATGTAATTTTTACTGTTATGAGTAGATTTCACTTTTAAAGACTAAACATACCCAGTTGTTTCTGTCCTTGTTGCATACCAGTTATTTAGATTGTATGTTTAAACCTTGATATTAACTTTAAAAAACTGACAATGTTGATTTCTACATCCACAAGTGCTTTTAATCACTAATGTCCTTTCCTTGTTGCAGTAGTGTTGATTTTTTATAACAAAGGAGGATTTTAAGTCATATTTCAAGAATCCATATGCTAGACAGTGCTTAAAATACATAAAAGTACTTGATTTGATTGAGCTCATACAGCGCCAAACCTATCATTTTAAAGCTA